TGACAAAAAGATTTCAAATTCAGCTGCCCAGGACTGCCCGGGGCTTACGTACGGGCGCGTGAAAATTATGGCGGGAAAATTCATAACTCGGGAATGAGAAAAGCTAGAGAGTTGAAACTTTGGAGGAATGTTCCCCACTCATGTATCACCAAAAGTTTTCAAACTCAGCTCAACAGGACCGCCCTGGGCTCACGTACGGACACGTGAAAATTATTGGCGCGAAAATTACTAACCCGAGAACGCGAAAAGCTAGAAAGCTGAAACTTTATGGTAATGTTCCTATTCATGTACGAGCAAAATCAGGTGTTTAGAAGCGCCCGGGTCAACGTACGGGCACGTAGAAGTTTGGCGCGAAAACCACTAACCCAGGAACGAAAAAAGCTAGAAAGCTGAAACTTTAGGGTAATGTCCCCTAGTCATGGATGACCAGAAGATTTCAAATTCGGCTCCCTAAAACAGTTCGGCACTCACGTACGGACACGCGAAAATTTTGGTGGGAAAACTGCTGACTCGGGAAAAGGGAAAGCTGAAGGCTTTAATTTTAAGGGAATGCCAAATTCAACTCTTCTGGTGCGGCCTTTTTCGCAAACCAGCAATTTCCCATTTGTCGGGTCAATGAAGTCGACATCTACAACTGACATACCACATAACTGCACAATTAACTTCCTGAACTTCGAGGGCCAGTATGTCACAGGTTAGCTGCTGTGACTCCTTGCGATCTTGGTACGGCCTGAAAAGTGCAAAAACGCATAATCGCATCGGCCCGCCTGGTGCGCTCCAGCCTGGGTATTTTCGGGGGATCTGTACACGGGGTCCAGACGAGTGTGAGCGAAGATTTTGAAACGAAAGGGTGACAGGCGGGTAGGGACGTATACCCAAAGTTTCAGTCACCCAGCTTTCCTGGTTGCTGAGACGAAAGTGGTTGACAAAGTTCACTCGCTTCCGAATACACACCTCTCGATAATATGCGTTTTTTTTCACTGTAGCAGTGTTATAACGCTGTTATGGCGCTGCACAGCAAAAACGCGTGACAAGGAAAATAATTTGCCAACGCACGGGCTGCCCGTGCGAAGATGCGTTTTATGCATGGTTCCCCGCAGTTTTTGTT